GCTAATAATCAGCAATCCATTGTATATAAATTCTGGACATTTGTACAGATTAATAGAAGACGAATAAGGGACTCAGTCCCCTTTGCATCATTCTCCACTCTTTTCTGTTATTCTTCTTTGTTTTATATAGAACAAATACTCATTCGAATCATAAAATCTTCACAACTGACCCTCATCATCGGCTTTGTGCTCTGAGCTTGCTGCCATGAAAAACATTCTGTTTCCTTGGCTGTTAAATTTCGTCATGCTGGTTGAGTTCAACAGGTATCCTAGTCATGCCCGCATGTGGCTGGCCCCGATCAAATCTTCTCAAGCTGGTCGTAAAAAGAACGATTACGAAGAAGCCATGGACAACTGGCATAATTTTTCAGATGAGATCAAGAACTACTATGGTGTTGATATGAGCGTTTTAGCAAAGCATTATTCTGATGAACAAGAGAAGTATTACTTAGAGGTAAGTTTTATATAAAGTGTGTGGACATTCACTGAAAACTATAACAGAGAGCTTTTGAAAACTTGTAATAAGTTGTGTTAATTGGCAAAGAACTAATAATAATCTAAGGACACCGGCTACGTTTTCCTTTGGGTTATATAGCTTTATATTTCATCGTAGTAAAACTCTAGACGTGATATTCTTACATTATTAGAAATGATCTTGTATGCTTTGTGTTTTGATGAAATTATTTAATCGAACCTAACACCAATACAACGTGATAAAATTCGTTCTTTCGTTTTTTTTGTCCCACAGACAACTGACAGAATTTAATAATGGAAACTTTAACAAAGATTTTGGAGTTTCACAAATAAAGACATTCGTGAGAAAATAACCATTGAAAGAGAGACATTAATCAAGGAGATAGAATAATGAGAAATGACGTTTTTGTATTTTTCTCCGATGCTAAAGTCTGAGCTTTACATCTCTTATTTATAATGCATTAAAATATCAAAACAAACCCAAAAATCTGCATCGACTTTAATGGGTCAAGCGCAATACTAGGTCTTCTCAGACTTATTCAACCTAAAATAAAACAACCGAAAATAATAACTTCAAAAACTAAACGGCAACAAAATAAACACGTGAGGAGAACATGGTTAACTCCAACAACAGCTATGTGGAATAACTTGAGCCCACAACAAGTGATAGGGATCCCTACCGTTATTAAGGAGATTTTGATTGTTTGACCACCACGATCAGTGATATTGCCGAAGTAAGATCACATGTCCTGTCAACCATCAGCTTTCGGGATTCTAGACTCTGTGGCTTTGGTGGTTGGTTCGATGTTCACTTTCGAGTACATTCCCTTGGATTTACATCTCATGAAAACCGAGCACGTTGAACAAAATTCTTATATTACTCGTTGTTTTGATGACCTGCAGGGAAGGAAAGAGGACCCTGCACTGCGAGAAATTGAGCTAACCACAGCTCCTAGCGACGATTATTGCATCCATTGGGGACAACAGGTTTGTTTGCACGAAACCATATACGATGGCTCGGTTTCATTGGTTTTGCGACGAGGTTTTAATCTGAGGCCAGTTCTGATCATGTATATGGCAGGTTTTGGTTCTAAACCCTACAGTTGACGTGGGGGAAGGCGATCATCTGAGTTTCTCATTGTTAATGACTCGTTCGAAGGAAAATCACCGGTTAATGGAGGTCGAGCTCGGATGCGAGATAAAACAGTCTTCTGGGAACCCAGTGATAGACTTTGGAAAATATATTTTGATTATTGATTCTCAAATGACATATATGAGTTTATATACAAGTATGACACGAGCAGAATTAGGAAGATATGATACACAAATCAAATCATTGAAGATATACTCCTATAGATATGGTAACTGCTAATATGCCCCCGCAAGATCGATGTCGGTTGCGAGGCCGATCTTGGTTCGAAGAGATTCAAAGCGTCCACGAGGTAAGGGCTTAGTGAGTGCGTCGGCGAGCTGGTCCATAGAGGAGACATGTGATACGCGAAGCGTCTTGTCTTGGACAAGACCACGGATGTAGTGATAATCGATTCCCACATGTTTCATGCGTGAGTGAAAGACAGGATTCGCCGCAAGATAGGTTGCACCAACATTGTCGCAATAAACAACCGGCATGGACGTAAGACTGATTCGAAGCTCCGAAAGTAAAGATAGGATCCATTGTACCTCTGAGGCGGTGGTAGAGACGGATTTGTATTCAGCCTCGGTAGAAGATTTCGCCGTGAATCTTTGCTTCTTAGATGACCAAGAAACGGGATTGCGACCGAGGTATACAATGTGGGCTCCCGTAGATGTGTAATCATCGCGGTCGCCTCCCCAATCTGCATCCGAATATGCGTGCAAGGACATAGGAGAGGAAGATAGGAAGATACCATGTGTCTTTGTACCATTGAGATACAGTAATATACGCTTCAATGCTTGCCAATGTTCCGATGTAGGGCTGTGCATGTATTGAGCTAACTTGTTAACCGCATAGGCAACGTTCGGCCTTGTGAAAAGAACGTATTGGAGACTGCCCAATACTCGACGGTATTCACTGGGGTCATCGAGAGTAGTCCCCGAACGACGGCTGAGTGTCGAAGTGGAAGGCATAGGTGTGGAGACCGGTTTCGCAGCAGCCATTGAGTGGCGGGTAAGGATGTCCGAGATATAGCGCTTCTGAGTAAGTAGGATGCCCTTGGATGTGTGTGTCACTTCAACCCCGAGAAAATAAGACAGGGATCCGAGATCTTTGATGGAGAACCGTCTTGCGAGAGTATCGATGAATCGTTGAATCTCCATGTTGTTGTTGTCGGTGATGATGATATCATCCACGTACACGAGGATGTATATTCTCACTCCGTCGCGGTCAAGGATAAACAGAGACGTATCGGAGATGGCATTAGTAAAGCCGGAGAGAATGAGGAATCGGCAAAGTTCGTTAAACCATGCCCTTGGAGCTTGCTTGAGGCCATATAGTGCTTTGTGTAGTTTGCACACATAGGAGGGTTTATCGCGATCAATGAAACCCGGAGGTTGAGATAGGTATACAGCCTCATCCAGAGTTCCTTGCAAGAACGCATTATTGACGTCAAACTGTCGAAGGTTCCATCTGCGAGTTACCGCAATGGTGAGGACCACACGAATGGTAGCATGTTTAATAACCGGGCTGAATGTGTCGGTGTAATCAATTCCTGGACGTTGGTGAAAGCCTTTGGCAACGAGTCTTGCTTTGTACCTGTCAAGGGAACCATCAGAGAAACGTTTAGTCTGAAATACCCATTTGCACCCGATAACATTGTGAGACGGATCCGGTGGCACAAGACTCCAAGTCCCATTTCGAATTAAGGCGTTGAATTCCTCCTCCATTGCATTGCGCCATTTCGGATTTTTCAAGGCTTGCGAAGCACATGATGGTTCAAGGTCTTGGTGTGGTTGTAGAGATACAGTGAGGTTGAGTTTTGTGGTCGGTTTGGAGATTTGGTTTTTGGATCTAGTGACCATGGGATGTCTGTTTGGTTGTGGTGCAATGGGCAATATTGGTTCGGTCGATGTTGATGTAGGTGACGTGTCGGGTAAGGCATCGGGCGAAGAGTGCATGGATGGGTCTGGCGTCGTGTGTGGAGGAGTGGCAGAGGGCGTCGGTGTTGGATTCAGACGCGGTGGCGTATCTGGCAAGAGACGAGGTGTGTGTTGAATGGCCAGTGGACATGGGACTCTAGAGGAAAGAGGTGGTGATGGGAAGGAACTAGTGGCGACTGATGGAACAAGGTCGGAGTGGTGACTGGAATATGGAAACTCAGTTTCGATGAAGTCTACATGACGGGAGATGTAGAGACATGATGTCGGGACATGGAGACATAGAAAGGCACTTTGGGTGAGTGAGTACCCGACGAACACACAAGGAGCTGACCGAGGAGATAGTTTGTGAGGAGTATATGGGCGGAGCCAAGGAAAGCACAAGCAGCCAAAGGTTCGGAGTTTGGAGTAGTTTGGAGGTTCCCCGAGAAGTGTTTCATAAAGAGACCGACGATGAAGGGATGAAGATGGTAGGCGGTTTATTAGGTAAACCGTCGTTGGTAAGGCGTAGGTCCATAGCTCGGTGGGGATTTTTGCACGAGTGAGTAGGGTAAGTTCGGTTTCCACAATGTGTCGGTGCTTTCGTTCCGATATTCCATTTTGTTCCGGTGTGTGGGGTGGAGAGGTATGATGGGAAATGCCATGGGAGGATAAGTAATTCCTTAAGGAAATATATTCCCCACCATTGTCGGTAAAGAGGGTGACTATTTTTTGGTTGAAACGATTTTCAACGAGACTTTTGAAACGTGGAAAAATGGTTGCGACATGGGATTTTTGACGGATAGGGAAGAACCAAGTGTAACGAGAAAAATGATCTATGAAAATGACATAGTACTTGAACCCGTCAAACGAAGTGATTGGTGATGTCCAAACATCCGAATAAACAAGTTCAAGAGGGCGAGAAGATTTGGCCGAAGAAGAATAGAAAGGAAGTTTATGTGTTTTATTGATATGGCAAGACTCACAAGACCAAGAACGATTAGAACTACATGACAAAGGAAGGGAAAAACTCGAAACAATGAAATTAAGTACTTCTCGGGATGGATGGCCTAATCTAGAGTGCCACTCGGAAAGAGATGTTTTGGCACTGGAGAGTGCAAGAGACGGGGGCGGTTTATTGGTGGGTTGAGACGAGGAGGAAGATGGCCATTCATACATACCGTGCTTAAGTGGGCCTCTTGCTAGGATTGCCCTCGTGTTGAGATCCTTCACCTAAAAGGAGTGAGAGAAAAATTCCACAGACACGTTATTAGAGAGGCAAAGTTGATGAATTGATAAGAGATTACGATGCATGGTCGGGACATAAAGAATGTTATGAAGCTTAAGTGGGTGAGATTTAGAAGGAAGAGTAGAGGAACCAGTGTGTGTTATCGCAAGCCCTGAGCCATCGCCAATGACAACTTCGTCATCTCCATGATACGGTGAGTGTAACGATAGATTCGCCAGATCAGATGTTACATGATGGGATGCACCGGAATCAAGTAACCATGGTGATGAAGGTTGTGGAGGAGGTACAGCCGCGTGATGAGCTGTGGGACGCCATGGAGAGACGTCCGATGGTGGAGCCGAGAACTGATTGGAGGTCCGGGAGATCGGTGCTGGGAGAAGGTGACAAGTCCTTGCACTATGACCTTGGGTGCCACACAATTGGCATTTTCCAAGGTAGGGCCGAGGAGATCCGCGCGTGTACGACTGAGTGTTTGTCGTAGGAGATGGCATCCGATGATTGTAGGTTGAGTGTTGTCGGCCACCGCGAGCACGCTAAGGGGGACGGCCACTGGAGTGTGCAACATGGGCGGAGATCGGAATATCCGATGGTTGAGAGACAACCAAATCAGCATCTCATGAAGTTCGATGAATGAGATAGATGTATCTCGAGCATGAACCGCATCTTTGACCGCCTTGTACTCATCACCTAGGCCAACAAGAATAAGATCAACAAGATCTTCATGATCCATCGGTTTTCCGAGCAATGCAAGTTCATCCGCCTTGATCTTGAAGAATCGCATGTATTCATCGATTGATTTGGCTCCTTTGTTATGCCGACGTAGTTGTTCTTTTATTTGTTTTACATGTCCATGACTGGAGCGTCCATAGGTGTCGGCCAAAGATTTCCATGCAGCAGCAGAGGAAGAGGACGTCGCGACGAGTGCTTGGCAAGCGGGTGAGATCGAGCCAAGGAGTGCTGAAAACACGAGCCGATCTTGACGGTGCCATGGGGTGTACATCGGATTTGGCGTGATGGTGTCATTAGTGATGACCGTGGACGCCGGAGCAGTGGTTTGGTCGAGATAAGACTCGCGGTTGTATCCTTCGAGGAGGGCTTGAAGTTGGATACTCCAAGTGATATAGTTTGTCCCGTCAAGTTTGGAGACATTCGATACATTGACGTTTATCAATGTAGAGGCAGGATCGGCGGGATTGTGCGGAGTGACATTGTCACTGGGAAGCGTGCCGGAGCTGGTAGCCATGGTGGAAGGCGGCGGCGCTTAGGAGGAGTAACTGAGGTTTGAAAAAAAAAATAGGGTTGTGGGGGTATTTTTGTCGTATGACAAATTTAGGCTCCTGATACCATGATAGACTTTGGAAAATATATTTTGATTATTGATTCTCAAATGACATACATGAGTTTATATACAAGTATGACACGAGCAGAATTAGGAAGATATGATACACAAATCAAATCATTGAAGATATACTCCTATAGATATGGTAACTACTAATACCCGACCCAACAGTTGGTGGCCTAGTGGCGGAGAGGGGACAAAGTCATCCTCAAGGTCCTGGGTTCGATTCCACTGGTGGGGAGGGATGTAATTTCTGGATTAAAATGGTCCATATACAAAGGCTGGTACCGGGCCTAGGGTGGATGTAGTTGGGCCGAAGGCCCGAGGAACCATCCTGGTTATCAAAAAAAAAAAACTGCTAATACCCGGTCTCATCCTTCGGGAAGAAGTATTTCATAGAGTGAATTTGAGTCACAGTAGAAACGTACGTGCGTTCTTCACCCCCTAAATGTATTTTCTGTTTGCATATTGTTTTGCAGCTTGTCTTTTGTTAGCCTTCAAAATAAGGAAAGGAAGAATACAAAAGATGAGAAAAGAGTTTTGAGAGTTTCCCAATAGAGTGAATGTTAGTGAAAGAGAATAGTAAAAACGTTGAAAATACACTACGAATTTTAAATTATGATACAAAGGTAAAGGTGAAGAACGTAATAGAAATGAAGTCCATATTAGTAAAGATGTATTTGAAAGAGTGATGGTTGTAGTAGAAAGTGATTGAGATAAGATCATTTTAGTTAAACTAGTTATAATAGGGGAATATATTAATGTGATTAGTGCTTATACCAACAAATAGAATTAAATAGTGAGTGTAAACAAAAATTTTGTAAGAATATTAATAACCTTAAGTAAAATGTATCGTGTGGAGAGTATATTTTTATTTGTAGTGATCTAAATATACATGTTGGAAAAGGTTACGGGGACATATATAGAGGTTTTGGTTTTGAGAATAAGGATGAAAAAGGTAAAAATGTTCACTTTCAAAAGAGACAATCACATTTTATTTAAACAAATGAATAAATGATATATATATATATATATATATATATATATATAAAGCGATAGAAAAAATATTAGAGACGACGATATTAACGAGAAATACAAAAAAGTTATTTCGATTATGTGTATAACAATAGCATAGGTAGTGACCTTATAAAATTAGAAATCAATAAGAGAGAAAAATATGAATTATAATAGAATGATTATATGCATCGAGTTGAGACACTGGTTAAATAATGAAAATATATAAATTATATGGATACGATGGTATCTCTATTGAAATGTGTAAATGCTTGTAGATGAAATAAAATTGGTTTGCTAGTTTTCTTTTTGATAATCCGGAAAAGGAGCAGGGAAGTCCAGATGAATGCCCCTCCCTACGCTTGTGTTTGAACCCAGTGTAAGAATATGCTTTACATGTTCTCTTACAACTAAGCCACCCAAACTTAGGTAATTGGTTTGCTAGTTTGTGTTGCAAGATCCTAATATCAAAGAAGATATCGAAAGAATAGAGATATACACTTTAGTCTCCATTTTTTTTTAAAATAAAGAAGGTATCCAAAGTTGTGCAAAATGATAGAGGGAGGAAACATACGAATCATACCACAAAGTTGGGTAAATGGATTGTAGAGAAGTGTCCACGTTGTAATATATCTATTTTCGTCAACTAATTTGTTTTTTTTTTTATATATGGAGGAATAAGGTGTAGATAATTATCGAGTTGGGATAAAAAAAAAATTATGTGTGTGAAAATTTTCTTATCCATTTGACACAATTCCTCTAAAGGAAAACGAGTCACAGAAATCACAATTATCGATATGATCATTTTCATACTAGTATTAATGATACTAAGAGATCAAGAATTTAGAATTGTTCCAAACAATTAATATATATCATTATATAACATATATGCAAATTAGACAACAAAATATAATGTATTCATCAATGGATCGGTTATAAAAGTAAATGTTATTCGTAGATTATTTTAAAACACCTAACCCGACACCGAACCGATATCTCCCGTTCTCTCTCACCAAGCTTGAAGCCCGACAATATGTTCTTAGTAAAGGCCTTCCATATGGGCTTTGAAGCCCATTAGATTTGCTTCCCTTCAATTTTTATCTATTTTATGCTTTTGATTATCCCAAATTTGCAGGCAAAAAGCTTTATGATTCACCCCGTTCATATATAATCGAATCTAAGTAAAATAAAGATTCACAATTTATTCTTCTTATAAAAAAACATAAATAAATCAACAATAAAAATTACCCTAAAAAAATACTACAGTCAAAATTACCAAAATGTACAATAATAAGTAAATATGGGTAAGAATTTGCATAATCACTGTACTCTCTAAAAGCAACATTTGTGCGGTATGCTACCTTAATGTATGTTGTTACACTATCATTTCCATCAAAAGAATATACTATTATTATTTCGGTTACTAATATCTTATCGATTTTTTTTGTCAAAAGTTGGTGTTTCCATTACTTTCGAATCTGTATCGAAATTTCTTTATAAATACGCTAAAAAAAAAAGAAATTGTCGTATAGTTTGTATGAAATTCAACTACCATTTTGAGTCTATTCTATTAAACACGGCATATATTGAGAATAAAAAAGAAAAAAAAAATATCACATCCAATCGGAAATATAGCAAAAATACTTTTACTTTGCTACAAAGACTTCACGCTATACCCTTCAAAACCTTAGAGTTTTGAAAAAAAAAAGGAACAAAAGATATAATTAACCTTTCAGAAAAGTAACGTGATACACCTCTCCCACTTACTTAGCCATTTTGAATTCATCTATCTCGTTCTCACACTTTGATAACTCTTTATTTCTTTCTTAACTTTCTCTCTCTACTGTTATCTTTCTCTCAACTCTTCCATTTTTCTCCTTCTCATTTCATTTTTACGCATAGAAAAACAAACGAAAAATGATTATTTCGTTGAACATATCTTCACCGCCGACCTCATACCTTATTTTTCTTGAGTCGATCTAAGATAGAACAAATGACAAGAACTGAAGGTAAGTTCATTAATACAAGAGATTGGTTCGATGCATAAACTTTGTGTTTTGGGTTTGAGTTTTATGATTTTTAAAATGAATCGTGTGGTTTTTGATGAAAATGAGACAGATGCATAACAAATATGTCGAAGAATATGCAAGAGGCGCATATTTAATTTCAAATAAATGTTCGGAGCGATAATGGAATGGATTGACAATGAAAACAAAGGTACGTCACATTGGTTACACCGTTTAAAATTTAATTTTGGTCGCACTGGTCACACATATCACATTGGTCACACTAGTCACACTGGTCACACTAGTCACCCTGGTCACACCGTTCAAAATTTAATTTTGATCACACTAGTCACACTGGTCACACTAGTCACATTGGTCACACTGGTCACACTAGTCACACTGGTCACTAGGGATGTCAATTAAACTCAGAGCCCGAAACCCGGCCCGAACCCGCCCGAAAATAATAAGGACATGGGCCTAAAAAATATAGGCTCATTAAATTTCGGGCTTTCGGGCTTCGGGCTAAATGGACTGCGGGCCACTCGGGCCGGACCGGTCGGGTCTCGGGCCGGACTTGAGGCCCATTAATTTTTTTCTAACCCTTTTTTCTAAACCAAAGTTTTACCTCTCTATGATTATCTTAATTTCTTTTTAACCATATTACATCATTTGGTAATCATCTTTTGTATTATTTTTTTACTAAATCAAACCTAACATGCTATTTGATTAAATTTTTTTGTTTTATATTTTTTTTCACTCTATATTGGTTTTGTTTCGTACTAGTAGTTTGGATTTTGTTCTTCGATGCATATAAATAAACACATGTTCTATATTTATATATGTGTATCTTTTAACCAAATGATGAAACTTTATTTTGGATCCAATTAATACTTTTTAAAGTGATGAGAACTTTTATTTTTTTAATCATATTACATCATATATATATATATATCAATTTATATTTTTGAAAACGTAGAAACTTTTAAATATATATATTTTTAAACCTTTATTTACATATGAATATATTGATTCTTTTTCTATATATTTCAAATTAATTACATCATATAATTATCTTTTTATACTATGTTTGTTTTTTTTAATATTTTACATTATTATTATTATCGTAGAAAAAAAAATTTATTTGATAAAAAATCTGAAGCCCGGCCCGAACCCGCCCGAAGCCCTATAGGGTCGGGCTCCGAGCCATTGATCCTAGACCCGAAAAATAAATGGGCAGGCCGAGCCGGCCCGAAAAATTCTAGGCCCGAATTAAGCCCGGCCCGAACCCGGTCCGACCCGCCCATTTTACACCCCTACTGGTCACACTAGTCATACTAGTTACCCTGGTCACACCGTTCAAAATTTAGTTTTGGTCACACTGGTCACACTAGTCACATTGGTCACACTGGTCACACTAGTCACACTGGTCACACTAGTCACCCTGGTCACAACGTTCAAAATTTAGTTTTGGTCACACTGGCCACACTGTCACATTGGTCACACTAGTCACACTGGTCACACCGAAAATTTTTAAAATTCACGCGAAAAAATTTAATTTTTTGTGATGGAGGGAGTTTTAAAAACTTTAAAATATTTAATTTTTTTCCTAGGAAATCGAAAATTGCTTTTTTCTCTCTTCCCATTAATGTTTCTGTCATTGGAACCTACGCCAATGGGTATTATGGGAATAACATAATTATAAAGGTATGTTTTGAAGTAATTTTATTTTTTATTTTTGTAGGGGTATGCCATGAAATCTTTGTAGCATTATAGGGGTATTTTTTATAAAAGCCCCATCCAATCGACATCGAAGTAATAATAACACAATTTAACTTTATTTGCAAAGAGCAAACGACGAAAAAAGAAAGATTATGGGACACCTCG